GCAGAAGGTACAACTTCTTCATCATCCCGAGGACATTCCAAAGGAGGAGGCCAATCTGGAACATCTTGGAGGCCGGCGCTAACGCAAGAACGTCGCGAAGTACCTCAACCTTCTGAAAAGGGGAAGGGAAAGAGCAAGTCCAAGGGAAAGTCCAAGAAGGGAGAAGATGATCGGCGGGATGCTCAGGGCAGCTGGGATCATCGTGGATGGAGAGGTTATCGCCAGTGGTGATTTCTTTGAACGACTATGAGGATACCATGCAAACCAGGGAGGAAGTCATTCACCGGATGTCTATCTGACCTGAAACGCTGTAAGTGTATCATTGCAAATCATCAATACGATTTGATACCATGAGCATAATGGAAGGTAGACAGTCACCGACTGTCTCTCCGACTTGCCGTTCTGTAAGTGTATCCAAACCAAAACCTACATCTTTTGAGAAGTGTGAAGTCAGTTGCCGATGTGACATCTACGTGGAAGTCACCAGTTCGGATCTACATCAAAGCGATGCTCTTTTGAGTGGATACTGAGCGAGGCCTCGTGACTGTCTCACTTGTTCAATTCGATTTTTCATAGGTTCTGAGCCATAGTTGCACACTTTATATGTAAAAGTCCGCTTTAGTCCAGCATGTTTCGTAGTATGAGCCTCATATGAGTCTCGCGGCAAATCATACAATTTCTTTTGTAGCACTTACATCCCTAAATTTTCGTGTGTGATCGGAACATATTGTTGCCGTTCACATGGGGGGTGCGAATGGAAGTGCAGCGACACGTATAGTGCAACTTGTACATATATATGTACCATATGTACTTTGGCTCAAGGATCAAGCGACTAGAAAAGGTGCGGTTTCCGTTCCGACGCTACGCCGCTTATGGATCGTCAGTGATAGCTTCAAACTTCGCTGATTAAGATCCACTCGCAGCAATAGATCTCGCTCCGTTAGAGGGTCTGGTGGTTGCGTGGTCGGCTGTTGTCGGCTGTGGTCGGCTGCGGCGCTGTCTTATTGTAAATTGTAATAGATCTCGCTCCGTTAGAGGGTCTGGTGGTTGCGTGGTCTGGTGGTATACGCGGAGTAGCTGGGGAGTGGGAAGATGAGAACTGGCGACTTGGTAGTACAACTTGAATCTGAGGAGCTGGAAGATGAGCACTGGCGACTTTGTAGTACAACTGTAGTGCGCGGACTAGCTGGGGAGCTGGAAGATGAGAACTGGCGACTTGGTAGTACAACTGTAGTACGCGGAGTAGCTGGGGAGCTGGAAGCTGAGAACTGGCGACTTTGTAGTACAATTTTAGTACCCGGAGCAATCTGTGGAGCTGGAAGCTGAGAACTGGCGACTTTGTAGTATAACTTTAGTACGCGGAGCAACCTGGGGAGCTGGAAGCTGAGAACTGGCGAGTTTCTAGTACAACTTTAGTACGCGGAGCAATCTGTGGAGCTGGAAGCTGAGAACTGGCGACTTTGTAGTACAACTTTAGTACGCGGAGTAGCTGGGGAGCTGGAAGATGAGAACTGGCGACTCGGTAGTACAACTTTAGTACGCGGAGTAGCTGGGGAGTGGGAAGATGAGAACTGGCGAGTTTCTAGTGCAACTTTAGTACGCGGAGTATCTGTGGAGCTGGAAGATGAGCACTGGCGACTTTGTAGTACAACTGTAGTGCTCGCAGTAGCTGGGGAGCTGGAAGATGAGAACTGGCGACTTGGTAGTACAACTTTAGTACATTATGCCCCATAGTGCGGACGTGCGACAACCGCTGGCGTTGTTGGCTAGTTGTGGCTGCGCACACCTGTGTGCACAATACCTCGTACATCGGTCGTGCACATCACTCTCTTACACCTTCTCTCCCACCCCTCTGTTGTCGGAATCTGATATCACTTCCTGACAAGGCCATGTTGTAGAAGCTATTGAGACTCTGACTGTGTGCTTTAGAAACTTAAGATTCGTAAAGACTCATATGTGGGGTTATCCGGTCCGGTCCTTTAATTTTCTGGTGCAAAGGATATAGACTGCACACAAGCTTGTCAAATTGCAGCAATTGAAGTCCTCACCAACTGAGCAATGAAGGCTTATACAGTAAAACTGAAGTTCCTGTGACCCTACACATTCCACCTTGGTGGTGCTCACATACAGAGTTCAGAGCACCACTCGTTCAAGATTGCAAACCTGCTTGGGAGGTTTTACTCTAGCGAGCAAGACAAACGCTATTTCATTGCAGATCTACGTGGTAGTTAAGTCATTTATTCTCGGATGTTCTGCCAGAAAACTATCATCCATACAGAGTGGCGCTCGAGGTTGGGGCGCATCGTGTTGGCTAGCCGCCGATTGAACTTCTTTGCCGGGTAGCCCTGCTGGCACACTAGAAGAGAGTCTGTGATTTATAGCAACGTGGGCGAACAAAAACCGCGGTTATGTTATATATATAAGTTGAAATAGGTGCAGCTTGTCATGGTTTATCCTCAAACTCCCCAACTTGGTGGCAGACATTTTGAATGTGGTGACTCCTTTCTTGACGTTTCGACACCCACCGTCCCGAATAGTGACGAGCCAGGGCATCCAAGCCACTCATTCATGAGAAATGGGTTGGGGACATTCCGTGATTGAAATGTATGGGAGTGAACTTGTTTGTTGTTTTCTCACCATTCGGGCGAGCAGTCATCGAGGGCTATGGCCCTGAGTCCTGACCCTTTGCAACGAACTGGGGCAAGGATGGCAACGAGCAGGGATCGATTGCTTTGGGTGCTGCCCCCAGCAAGGAGCAGTTGGCTCTTGCCAAGCGTCGGGCAACCCAGGATCTGCTCGAACGGTTCTTCGGGCTGACGTTCCATGAGGGAAAGGACGATACCAAAGTATCAGAGGTGCATCCAACCGATTTATCGAGAGTAGCAAGCAAAAGACCATGCATTGTGAAATAATAGATTTATCATAATCGTGACTAGTGAACCTAGCTCACTCTACATTTTGACAAACAGTTACTGCCGCTGCACAATTGGAATCAGGTCCAGGTAAGTTCTCTCATACATGTCGTACGTTGGATAGCACAATGTGGCCCCAAGTCTATTGCAGTTCAGGCAGCCTTGTACTTGCACATTTCAAAGATGACTGCTTGCATTTGTCAGCCAGTTCGCTTCTCTATTTTTCATTTATTTGTTCTCTTTTCTTTGTGATGAGAGGTGGTTTGTGGCTCTAACGTGCTGCTCGCTTTCGGAACCAAACCAAACCAGGCAGAGAAGAAGGAGCTTCTTTGAAAGATCGAGCGGCTCCACGATGGCCAGGTACTTTGATGTTTTCACCCGCAAGTAGTAGTTATTATCTCAGTCAAGGGCCAAGGGTTGACTTGTCCGCTGCATTGAAGCCTTAACGATATAGTTGGCCTTCAAGTTCCTCTGGCATCATTTTATGGCAATGATCCGGATCCCTCTGCAATTGTCTCTGCTCCACCACGCGCTTTTTTTCCAAGGTGTGGCCTGTCACCTTCCAGAGGTGCGTCGGTCACCGTCTGGGAAATCTGAGAGAATCCTCGGAGCTCAATCGGTCGACTGGAGACCAATCCTTTATGTTTTTGTTTTGGCTGCTGTCCTTGATCGAGATATCTCGATCCAGTTGAGACTGAGAGGAAGAAATCTTTCGAGATGGGTTAGACGGTTAGACACCCAAAAGAGTGGATCATGTCAATATTGCGATTCCTACATGACTGAGCTCCTTTTCTACACCTCATCAGCTGCATGAAAGCAAATTTATTTGATAGTGCTTAAGTCAACATGTAGTCATGTAGTACATTTGTCTGGGAAAAGATGAGAAGCATTTGTTTGTTCACGGAGTTGGAAGAGCATGATGCCCACTTCCCAAGAGAAGAGTTCTGCAGCCGAAGACAATGTCATAGTCTTGCAAAACCAAGCTCTTTATCGAGCCCACAACTGTTGAACTCACTGATGCGTGGCTTCCTCGAACTGCCAACTTTCTGCCCAAATGCATCTTTCTGACAAACCACCAACAACCAATTTCACGTGTTCCCTGTCTTGTGCTGCAGCTGTGTGAGTTGTATTTGGCAGGTGTCCTTCTCTCTGCCACAGAGGCAGAGGTGCAGCATGCGCTGTGTTTGGTCAGTGTAGCTGTGTGATTTGTGTGTTCAGCGGGTCGGTTAGATGGCCTTCTGCAACAGCCAATGTTCAAGCGCTCACCTTCACTGCAGAGTAGACAGTGGGCAGCTTAGTAAAAACCCCTGGAGTCATGACAAGCATGAGTCCAGCATGATTTTGAACACAATTCCCCCTTTCATCTCAGTCAGCGAATCACGGTCAGCTCTCCTTTAAACTTTAATCGTTAGATCCCCATGTTGGATCAGTCAAGTTTGTGAAACTGCCCCAGTGTCGGGATTCACTGTGCTGAATGTACTATCTCCACGAGGTTTCTCTTGAAACAAAGTTTAGCATCCGTGCTGCTGTTCTTTTGTTTGACATGCCGTGAAGATCATAATACTAGCAAACGGCACAAGAAGGACGAGGCAGGAGCTCATGCTCAATAGTCTTTGCCGATCTTTGCCATGTGTGTGTGTGTGCCCCGACTGAGTGACACACTCTTCACAGAATTTAACGAAGGGGCCTAAGCACTGACAGTTAGCGCAGGCTGATCACCCCGACCCCAATCCTTTCGCAAGACTGCATCGCAATTGGGGTTACACGTGGATGGACTCCTGAACTTTGATCTAGATTGAGGCTCTCGCTCTTACTAACTTAGGTTAGAGGCCATTGATTGCTATTAGGTTGGAGGCCATCGCTAGTAGGTTGGAGGCCATTGCTTCTAAGTTAAATGGTTGACAGAAAGCAAGTGCACCTCCCAAGAAGTAGAAGTGGGGTTGGACTACTCATTCTGTGGCTTTTGACTACGACTTTGGCAAAGAAGAGCTTTTTCACCAATTGAGTCCACCTGTCCGAACAGTGGAGGCCAAACAGTGAAAGGCTGACGTGACCCAACAGTTTCCCCGTCGCCATCGGTGGATCCACATGTCTTTGGCTGCGCTGCGGGCGGTGCTTCGTGTGGCCCACCGGGGGAGCAAGGCTCCCAGCCAGCTGGCGCCGCTGCTGAATCGGGCAGCGAGGCTTTGGGATCCGCAGGCGCGCTGGGCGGAGCTGACCATATGGAAATGTTTAGAACATGCCTGTCACCAAAAGTTGTTGTTTGTTGTCTAATCAATCATTGGGCCACTCAAAAACGCGCTCTTTCTTTGGTTTCACATTGGCATTGCCGTCAGCCTCATGTGAAGCCAAGGCTCACCGAGTGGTGCCCCACCCACTGGGTAACTTTGTTTGGTGTGATGAGCTGCTGCGAAGCTGCGGCAATGGCACGGAGTACGCTCTGCCGGTGGCTGACCGCAGAGCTGTAAGGCATCAATCCTGGATCTGGGTCCTGGACAGGGGAATCTCTTGCATGTATATACATTAAGACATATGACATTGACGCGCACACACACACACACACACACACGCACACATTTTTAGACCATGGGTTTGCAGTCAGTTACATCAATTCCCCGAGGAAATGAATGAGGGAACGGAAAGGTGGCAAAGTCCGCGATCAACTGAATGTTGAACAAATGTTGCACAAAAACGCTCGAGCGAAGGCGGCGGTCAGCAGCTGCAACGCGGAGGAAATTGGTTTAGGGGAAAGTATCATGATCAAACCACCATGGAAACAAACCGAGAGTGGAACAGCTTGAGCAAAAGTTGGTCGCAGGTACACGGAAGTGATCAGCTTCCGCTTCCTAGGATCTTGCAAGGAGCTTCGTTGGGCAGAGCCTTGCAAGTTCTCTCTGCCCCCCTGCTAGTCTGTGAACAGAGTAAAACTCTTTGAAGCAGAGGCTGGCACACACACCCGGCCGCTTTGCGGCGCTCGCGCGCAAAACCTAAATAGGCACCTAAAAAGCAAAAGAAATTAGAGAAAGAAAGCCAGAAAGAGCATGGCTAAAAGGGCAGGAGAGAAAGATAGGTGTAGCAAAAAGTGAATACTTAGCCCTTGACTGGGGTAGGGAAACAAGCCTCAAGAGCCACCGAAAAAGCCTGAAAGAAAGCCCAAGAAGTGACGGAACACGCAAGAAAGAAAGTGAGGGGCAGGGAGGGGATGTATGTACATGTGTGTGTGTGTGCATGAATACCTAGCACTCTAGAACTCGGTGGGGTTTTATTCTCCGTAGGCCCGGCGGCATCAAGTCTCCGTAAACCCGGCGGTGTTGAATCAGGAAATTCATTGTGTGAAACATTCAAATCAGAAAAGATAATCCAACGTGTGCAGGAAACAGCAGGTTCATTTACTCGGTAATCCGGCATGGTCTCGGCGCCGCAGTGAGGGGGATCACACTCTGCACCCAGTGGGACGACAGAGCGGCACACACTTAGACCCTGGGTTTGCAGTGAAATTACCCGAGGAAATGAATGAGGGAACGGAAAGGTGGCAAAGTCCGCGATCAGCTGAATGTTGAGCAAATGTTGCACAAAAACGCTCGAGCGAAGGCGGCGGTCAGCAGCTGCAACGCGGAGGAAATTGGTTTAGGGGAAAGTATCATGATCAAACCACCATGGAAACAAACCGAGAGTGGAACAGCTTGAGCAAAAGTTGGTCGCAGGTACACGGAAGTGATCAGCTTCCGCTTCCTAGGATCTTGCAAGGAGCTTCGTTGGGCAGAGCCTTGCAAGTCCTCTCTGCCCCCCTGCTAGTCTGTGAACAGAGTAAAACTCTTAGAAACAGAGGTTGACGCACACACACACTTCGATCCATGCTCGCAAGAGCTCTATCAGTTTGAGAATTCCTGGAAGCTAGTTACTGCATTAGCGCTTTTCTGCAAAACACGGAAGGAGACTGCTTAAGTCTACTTAGAACTTCAAGTTAGTTACTGCATTAGCGCTTGACTGCAAAACACGGAAGGAGACAGCTTAAGTCTACTTAGAACCACAAGTTAGTTACTGCATTAGCACTTTAGTGCAAAAACATGGAAGGAGACAATTGAAGCTCTACTTAGAAACACAATTCGAAAGCAAGAGCGCAGGTACATCCAGCTAGCCAAGCTGGATATCCCGTTTCACTGGTAGCTTCATTGGACACAGTCCCAATGAAATGCTGTGTCCCACTGCAGGTCTGTACACGGTAACGGATTAAAGGTCAAAAGGGGAATTCTACCTAGACGATGTGGTCGTTCTCCTTGCGGACAGGAGGTGGCACACACACACAATCAGCCGAATCGGTGCTCTCTTGACTGAAAAGCTTGACCTGTCACCTAAAAAACCTCTAGCAACGAACGAAAGCCTGGAAAGAAACGAAAGAACCCTGGAAAGAGAGAAAGCAAGACCGTGCATGAATTACTCAGTGTGAAGCGTACAAGTGAATACTTAGCAGCATGACGTGAAGAAGAGCTGGGTTATGCATAAGCTTCCAGCAACGAGAGAAAACCTAGAAAACGAAGAGAAACAGCAGGAGAGACTGAAAGACACCATCAAAGTGAATATCAATCTACAGAGTGATTACTTAGCCGCGTGGTATGTCATTCTATGAGTTGTCGGCAGTAAGCTCTGCAGCATTTGGTGAGCACTCTCGAACAGTCAGCTAACCACGGAGGTGTCAAGCAAGACGAGTGATCACTGACAATTCCCCCTTGAGGGTCTATGCTCAACGCACCCTGTAGGGATCACACAACAGACCACAGTGGGACCCTGTTGCGAAACACACTTCCATCCATGCTTGCAAGAGCTCCATCAGTTTGAGAATTGCTGGAAGCTGCATTAGCGCTTTACTGCAAAAACACAGAAGGAGACAGCTTAAGCTCTACTTAGAACCACAAGTTAGTTACTGC